CAGGATTTCGATATCGATTATCGAAAAGAAACTCGTACTCCTTGCGTATGGGGTCGGAGATGCTTCCTTCTGCCTATTACATACATTTGCAGAAATACATTATACCCATTTTTAATGGGTTTAGGGTATAAAAAGGTTCAACCATTTAACAAACACACGAAAATAATGTGGAAACGATTGCTGGAACACATATGATGGGAAGGACTATAAATAACATGGGCGGATACTCGACAAATTAGCCCGTATATCATTGCCGATTATGACCCCCAAATGGAGGCAATTACCAACACTTTTTGGCCATACCCGTAGCCTCAATAAACAAAAAATGTGACCGACCACCAGCAGGAGTCGTGACCCCTAAACACATTATATACCCCTCTGCTTAGAATATTACAAATAAAAGCAGCTGCCGCTGTGAAGGTAATAGTCAAAAATTGTTGGATACTTGCAATGACTGGCGAATATTTTCAAATGTTATAGACCGAGCGTGGCGACTTTCAGGCGACTTTCGATTCGGACCAGCAACGTCAGCAGCAGCGGTAGTGTCCGAACAATGTCCAGATAAGCTCTGGGCACTTGTCTGGACATTCATTAAGCCTCGACCAAAAGCATACAACTAAATATTGCCAAGCATATCCGAATGTCAACAAGGTCATTAGGCAAAGCATCGACCACACACAAGCTAACACACACACACACACATGTATATACTTATATATTGAAAGGGTCCACTGACAGCTGGGCTTCTCTTCACTGGGTTCAGTACAATCTCTGTCCGGCAATGCTTAATTAAATCCCCTAAAAACAAGTTTATTTCACTTTCGCTCTTTGAGCGCCTGTCAAATTAATGTTTAACACTGGCTCTTGCCCAAGTTTGCGGCCAGGACGAAAATAATTTTCTTGCCTCTAATATGGGCAGCCATTAGGAGCTATATTTGGCAAGCTGTTTGAGGGAAATCCTGTGGGATCCTACATAAAATAGCCAGCAAATTGTTCGTACGTACATATTGCCTGTCGCGTGTAGCATGTATACAGACGTTAAACTGAGCTTAACTGCCTGCAGAACTTGTTGCATAGATTTATAATCAGACGTGGGCCTAGTAGCTATGGCTGAAAAGTTTCTGCCCAAGATAATACTTAAGTGAATTATGAGCAAAAAGTTAAATGACTTTAAGTGTTGAACAACACTTTAAATCGTAGAACGTGTGTTAACACTGGTTAACTTTGCACGTAACATATATTGGATTAATTTGTACCTAAAAATACAAACAAGACAATTGATTTAACAAATTATTTCATTAAAAATGTAGTGCATTATTAATATTAAAAAGTGAAAGATTTTTTTTTGATTTTTTTATTTTCCAAAAAGATGTCTTTTGTTTAAATACACATTTTTTGGGTAAATGGGAATCAATATATATTTTTAGCAATTGAAAACTGCGTGATACGTTATAACTGATTTCTTGTGAAAAAAAATCAGAATATTTAATACTGATAATTGGGTTTTATTCAACCATTCGTTGTAGATGAGACAATTACGAGTACTTACCGCTAATATCTAAAGGGATTTAGCACAGACGTCATCAAAAGCTCAGCCTTAGCAGTTCTAAGATCCTAAGCAGTCGGTACTGCCATTCAGGACAGGCACGTTATGTATTGGCTCAGCCGAAGGTGCCACACCCAATTTCCTATGGTTGCTTAGCTGCCTACCTCAGCGGTTCTGGCGCTCGTGTCAATAGTGAAAATGAAAAATTACGCCGAGAGCTGTGTTGCTGCTGTTGATGTGTTTTCTCATTTACAGCTAGGCAAGGAAAGGCTACGAAACAAAATACACACAAGTCCTTTAAGCCGCACGACAGGCAACATTTTCATTTGTCAGCCGCTGCGACTCCACTCACACCTGGGCTGCTGGATGCTGCTCATCCTTGACAACAGCTGATTAAGCTCATTTATCAAAAACGACTTACAAGCCAGCCAACAAGGTGCCATTGTATTAAGTTGCAGCTTAAGGCATCCAGTTGCTCAGTTTTGTCGCTGGTGTCTTTACCTTCATATTGGATGGCAATCCGCGCAGTTCGAGTCAATATTTATATCAATGTTTACAATTGGAGCTCAGCTGCCAGCGATTCACTTATCGTTGAAGACAAAATCGGCGCAAATTGTGGCTACGGTTGTAGGGGCTGGAGCGTCCCCAACAAATATAAAAACTCAAAAGTTTACGCACAACAATTTGAAAAGGCAAACATATAATCATTTGAGTTTTAATTGCATTGCCCATTTGTTGAAATTGTTTTACAGCCACGACATGAGAATTCGTTTCAAATTTTTTGATGTAGAAGTACTAAAGAGCTTGTTGTACACGATAATAAGAAAAAGATAAACAGCAAGATATTATCATATTTTTAATCAAAAAGATGTCTTACAAATTTTGCATTTCTCCATTAAATGCGAATCACCCTTCTATGCGATTTTCATCAAATCAAGTACCAGACTTTCAGATTATTTAAAGTATCGCCTTTATTTGAAATTTTGATGATCGTAAATAATAATTTCAAAAATGGCTTTTTTTTTAAGTTAACTGTAGTTGTTGGGGCTTATGTGGTAAATAAGATTGATAAGATTTTGATAGACTGTCTACACTCTGCCATTGTCCAGTGTATCTCTTTCTTGATGTATTTCCACAATGGGCAAACGCACCCTCTCAGAAAGAAATAACATAACACTAAATTTAACATATTGCCAGGTAAGGTACATAATCGAATCTTAACTCGACTATCTTAGTGGTCTGACCCTTGCAGGACTGGTAGCATAAGGAGCATGAAACTTGTTCGACTGTCTAGTTGGCAGTCATAAGAAATTCGATTTCACATTTATCAAATAGTTGGCAACTTTCTCTCTGCCGACCTAAGGGCAAGACAACTAACGGTAACGGCAAGCTGCTTATTTTTTTTACGTATTCTGTCTCCAAGGATTTGCGGCAAGTCGTCATTCACTTTGCTCCTGACTTGTAGCAAATTTGCGGCATTGACAGCGCAAACAAACTTTGAATGATTAATCTGAGCATTTGTCGTACAAATTGTTAACGATTTTTTGCAATCAGTCTTTAAATCGATGTATCCTTTTATTTAGCATGTCATCAAATTAGGTGGAATTTAATTTGATGCCTCGACTGAGGCAATTTCTTATGCATTCTGATTACCAGCGTACCACCTTAATTGCATGCCATAACTCAATGCATAAAATACTTTTATCGACCTGTAGCGCGAATATGTGTCAAAAATACCAAGGTGCTTGACTAGAAGTTACCCTGTACTCGAGTTTGTTTCACTATTCTGCATACTACAGAAAAAACTGCTCTCAAATAACTTCTTGACTTATAATTTGGTAGATCTAAGAATTTTAGCTGTTATTTAAAGAATATACCTCAAACTACGGTTGACTACAATCAATATTTGTCAAAACAAAAAACAACGATAATCAAGCATTAAATACACTTGTACCCTTGTGGCCTACGGTTTTCGAGATATTTGCTGAGTGTGGTCAAGATATCTTTAAAAATAGAACAGTTTTCCAAGCAATATCACATTTTTCGAACGATTCTACCTATAAAACTCTCATATAGCTTAATAGATAGATGCTTACAAGCCTTTTCCCGTTTATAGGCGACATAGTAAAACTCGTAATTGCCAAGTTTGGTAAAGATATCTTGAATGACAAAAAGAAAATAATTGTTGACCAATCATTCCCATGGCAGCTATATGATATAATTGTCCGGTGAGGAGGGCATAGAAAGTTACACGACGGTAGCTAATCAAGAATGTACACATATACATATATATATATATATATGTTTATATATATATATATATATATATAGCTTATGAGGAGGCAGATGTGTCCTCCTCTGTGTTACACATTTCATCGAAAACTTATAAATAATTATAAATACAATTACACTTACTCATCCCCATTAAACCCATTAAAATTCCACAGTCAGTTAACAATGTCAGCAGCAAGCAGACGCTGCAGCGAAAAGATTAATTGAAATTCGCAGAAAGTCAACGCGCGGGAAAATATAGCGAATGCTAAAAGATAAAAGAGAAACTGGTACTGAATGTTCCAACAAAGATAACAACTAAGAGTGCTGTGGTCGGGAGTGCCCAACTAGGGAATACGCTGAAATGTCTTCGACCAAAACTAAATGTACCAAATGAAGAGAAGGGAAAATTTAAAAAAAAAGGTTAATAAAAAGAGTCAAAACAATCGCAATCGAAATTACAATTCTGATTATATAATTTAAAAAAGACGAGCATATGGATGTAAGTGTGCGCATGTATACAGAAATTCTTGTGCGTTGGTTTTTCTTTAACAACTTCTGTCTTTCTTAAGCGATTTTGATGAACTTTTCAACTGGGTAGTTTCAATTAATTAATTAATTTGAATTGCCGTGATGCCGGTAGCCATTAAATGAAAGATACTTGTTTGGCTTATACTATTTTATAAGCTGCATGTCAAATTTGGTTACTCTAGCTCTTAAAAAATAAGAGATTTGCTCAAAAACGAAATTTGTATATTGACTTTCATCGATTGTTTACGAACGAGGCAAGTTTTTATCATCGGATTATCCGAAACAAACTCATAGTGCAGGGGCATTAGAAGGAACTACGTTCAAGATTTCAAGTCTCTCGCTTATACTACGGACATGTTTGTTTGTTTGAAGCTAATGCGGTGGAAACTTAAGTAGAATGGAAAGGTAATTTCTTTCTCGGTTTTGGGAAAGTGATATTTAGAAGGAAAACCTCAACTGGTATCCAACTCTTTAAATATAACGTCATATTTTTAAGCCAGTTTAGAAGTTCTACCTTTTAAATATATTCATATAGAAATTATTGCAGTGCGATCTAAAAGTTATGTATACCCTGATTACCAGAGTATTTATTTGACTTTTTATGCCAAAGCATAGATACGCCCCTATAATTTGTTTCATATTGTTTATTTGTTGCTGACAAGTCAGTTGGTTTAAGCTTGAGCTTCGACTCGATTCGCTCGAGTCCCGAAAATTTGAATAAATGTTTCGCTATTTGTTCCTATGTGTGCTGATAGCGCCCGAAGTATTTAGTAAAGGTGACATTATATATTATACAGTACGGTGCAATATAAATGTAATAATAAATCGCCAATTCATGTCCAGCTGAATGTGAAATCAGATGGTTTCAATGCACCAGCAACACAAGACCCATAAATTGCGATGCAGAGGTGAACGAAGGTTGGATTAGGTTGAGTAAGCTGTGCGATGGCAACTGGGACTGTGCCGATGGCAGCGATGAGTCCATTATGGCCTGCAAACTGCATCCGTCCCTCCAGGTTGATCATTATTTCTATTGTGCCAGCGGAGGAGTAATCACAGATAATCAACGTTGCGATGGCAACAGGGACTGTTGGGAAGGATCGGATGAGCTTGGTTGTCAAGGTACTTCCAGAGCTCCTCCACCAAATACTTGCAGGTAAGTGAAGATTTTAGAGTGAACTGTGCGAATTTAACAAATTAAATTATAAATAGATATAATTAATAAATACTAGATTATGGTATAGACTAGAATTCAAATCCGTATCGTCGCTGTTCAATCAGTAAGTTATCTTGTATATTTACAGGGATTCGGAAATGGAATGCCGGCCAGGTGAATGTATATCCGTGGAGGGGTTGTGCAACCATCAAGTTGACTGCAGCAATGGGCGGGATGAGTCCCTATCGGAATGCTTTGAGGAATGTGACGTAGACCACTTTCAGTGCGGCTACGGAGCTTGCATCAAAAACGATCTGCTCTGCGATAACAAGCCCGATTGTCTGGACGGTGCTGATGAGCTATGGAATGTGTGTGCGGACATTGAAGGCTATAAGCCAACGCCGTATCGCAATTGCAGCGAACCACTGGTAAAGTTAGAACCAAAGTTTGATAAGGATACCAAATATCACGTGGCTCGCGGCCAGAAATATGTGTGGCCCAATGAGCCAGTGCACTTTACGTGTGGATGGAACAATCTGATTGGCTCGGAATGGAATGTGTGCCAGTTAGATGGCACTTGGCATAAACCATTGCCAAGTTGTGTATCACGTAAAAGAAACTGAACATTATAAACGCAATGCGTAAATGCAATAAAGAACATTAAATATTAAAATATTTATTATCTAATGATTGATAAGGCACACTTAGCCGCTTCGACTGCTGTTTCTGTCTAGAACTAGTACAAAAGGATTCAAAAAGTTAATGTTTAAGTTCATTTTGCCTGGCGAACTTATAATAAAGGAAGCGAACAGCTGATTGTCGATTTGGAAAACCGGATGACTCAACTTCTTGGAAAATGTTGCTCAGGACTCAATTTTCCCGCCCCTCGACCCGTTTATCCAGCGGTCATGATAGCCTTTTCATTCGTTTAGAGATTATTTTGATTAAGAATGGACTGCCACATAGTATGTATGAAGTGGCTAAATTCCAAATAACATACTTTTACCAAATACATTTATTAAATAAAAAACAACACACATTCCATTCCAATCCATTCCACTTGATGTTGCTTACGTTTCGGCTCCCACGTCACACCACATTTTGAGTTTATTGTTGCCGTTGCCCGAAACAAAACACTCGCTGACGCATGCTGATTTGTTCGAGTCGGGAATTTTTGGACACATTTTATTTTGCAGGGATTATGCGGCTATTTTTTGGGGACAAGTTTGTTTGCCCCCCTTTTTTTTTTTGTTATGGAGTTCTTTTTTTATCAACTCATTTCTGCCTGAATACACAATACACACAACTAAACCTTTCAGCGAAAACTTACATATTTATATTTCGTTTCGTATTTGAGGGTATTGACCATTTTTGTTATCCTTTTAGTGTAATATTTTTGGTTATTCTACTTTTGTTCACTTGAATGAACCCACTTGAAGCAGCCTTCCAAATTGTGTATTCTATTTATGCCTCAAGTTATGCTAATTCTCTAAATTCCATTTGTGAATTGTTTATAATTCTCTTCGATTGGATTCCGTTTTTAAGTGGGCGTATTTTAATGTACATGTGCACACATCCACATCCAAACTGTATTTGTTTTTATATAGTCTCTTAGTTAATTGAACACAAAGTTTATCGTCTGACAAACTTGTATTTGCGATAAAAGATGAAAATGGCCAATATTTAACATTATTGTATATGTCACAAATTAGGCGGAAGGCACAACGTATGTTATAAAAAACATAAACAAGTTTTTAAAATAACAACAAACGAACTGTATCTCTATATTTAAAACTGTTTGTGCGGACTAACTGACCGAGCTGAGGTTTACATCCAAATTAACTTATGTGATGAAGGTGTAAGAAGAAACTCTGCAAAATTCCAACCGCAAGTTTTTAGAAATTGCAAAAAACGGTCGATCTGAAAATCGAAAATCTTTTTTCAACTTCATTGACGGGGTGCTTTATACATTTCGGAATATCTACGCCTCCTTGGTAGTCAACTTGTTGGTGAATTTGTGATATAATAATTTCAGTTTTTATTATTCTGAACAATTATATGTGTGTTCAAATATGTAATTTACGCATTGGAATCATGCAAACGTAGGCTATAATTGACAACTGAGGCAAGTAGGTGGATCATATAAAGAAAGAATGCTGTTATAATTGTTGCAGATAGAACATATTCCTCAGAAACCATATTTTCCAATCGGCGATGGTGTATTATAGTGCTTCCATAGAGCGTTAGGGGTAGCATGTATAACAAGCTCCATGAATCAACAAGCACCACAAATTCTGGCATTTTGATGGCAAACACAACAATAGTCAGTAATATATAAACGATGATAAAGACAATTGTTATAACCAGCATTGTCTTGTAGCCAGGTAGAAAAGAAAGAGGCAGGAAGGCGCCCATCAGATACAAGAACAGGTTTGTCGCTAGAATTGTCACCACAATGATGGTGGCATACATAAATTTTAACGTGGTCCAATTGTAGCATACAACGCACAGTGTCATGGACTCCACAGTTACAACGCCGAGCGTCCAATTGACGGGAAACTTGTTGAACAGCTCGGTAAATACCAAGAGCACCAGGCAGACCAGGGCGATCACTAGCCACATGAAACTTGGCACTGGCACTATGTTGTACAAGTCAAACCTTGCTGCTTTGATTAACACTAGTTGGCCCATGCCGATTCCCGTAAACAGGCTAGCGACAAGGTAGATCCTTTCCAATCGAATCGCCTCGTGGGTGGTCATATAAGGCACCTCCTCAAATTTAGCGAACTGCTGTGGATTTTGCATGATGACTGCCTATTTGCCTTTATCTCCATAAATTGTACTATCTTTGTATATTCAAACGTATTTTTTATTTTTTTTTTGACATGCCTATCAATGTGTATCAAAACCTACACAACTTTTGAGTAAAACCCATTAGCTGGCTTCTTCACACCATACAGACAGCTGTTGAAATGTTCACACTAATCAATGCCACGTGCTGGGCTCTTACCTGGCTTACACTTTGCCAGGTTGACACATGCCCTCTGACCTGCTCCGTGCTTTTTGACAGTTTTTGCCTACAAGCAATGCGACAGCTGGGCTGAATTTTAATTGGCTTTTAGCGGCAAAGCAAACACATGTTTAAATGTCAACAAACACCGCATAATGTCAGAAAGCTAAGAAATGCTTTACGCTCAAAAGTTAAAAATTAAATTAAATAAACATGCGCGAACAAATGGCACAATGTCTCAAGCGACTGTCTCAAAACGGACAGTTGGGTAACTTTCAATTGAATCGGCAAAAGTATTTGATAATAAATAGAAATTTAAAAAGGCCAACTTCTGTTTATATATATATAAATATTTCATATTCGGTTCTACCAAATTATCAACATTTTAAATAATTCCTGAATAGTTATATTTCATGTTTGTTAAATTTATGTCAGTTGGGAAAAACAAATCGAATATTAATTGACAGGAAAATTACTAAAACGGTTTCTTTTTTTGACAAGCAGTGTTTAAAGCCATATGCGACATAATTGCCATGAGTTTCAAGGATGACATGCAACTTGAATTTGACAGGTAGATAATTCGCCTGTTAACGAGATTGTTCAGGTCAGAGTAGAATATGAAAATTATGTTTATGTTGTTTCCTTCAAATAACGCATACGCATACTAAGTTATCTTAAAGGTTAAACAACACGCGCGTATATTATCATTGAGGATTTGAGAGAAATGCTCACAAATAGTCGCCTGTATTATTTGTTAATGTTTGCAGCTTAATGTCATAATAAGCTTGGCACTCAAAGCCCATCATTGCCCATCAATCAAAAAACAAACGTCCGCAATTTCTTACAATTTACAATAACAGGACACAATGGCAACAATAACAAAGCTCTAGGAGATTTGTGCATAGGCACGAGGAGAATGATAACTTTCGCAAGCTAAGCCTGTAGATTATGGTATGAAAGGTTTTTAGATGTATAATAAGCAAAATATGATGATAACAATGAACGAAAATACACCAAATTAGTTCAATTATATTTGCCTCGATTGTTTTTATTAAATAATATTAAAGCTGATATTGAACAACTAACCATGGATTTTGACCATAACTAAATTTAGTAATTAATGCCATATTTGCCAAATTATTATTTATATGTTATTTACTAATTGCTTACAACGTTAACTTTACCTTATCGCTTTTAATGTTAAGTTGCTTGCAATTAAGCCACATTCATGCAAATATGTATTATATTAAGCAATGTTATCAATTAATTTCTAGAAGTATGCGGTTTTATTTAGTTTGCTGCATTTATGGAGTGCTTGCAGAAATGATAATCCGTGCCGCAAAATGTAAGTCGTTAGATTATAAATATAAACTTTTTAGAGTCGAGGATGAGTCGGTATGAGTCTGTTTACATTCAATTGCACAAGTTTATTATATCTGATTGCTCATTTTAATTGTTAAAGATATATATTTAAGCCAGCCTCATTATTTTGTAAGTTTTAATGAGCGAAATGCGTATTTAATTATGATGACAGACTCAAATTTTGAGCAAAATTAACCTAAGTTATGAATTTTGTATTTCTGTATAATGAGGGCTCTTATTAGAAATGTTCGATTTCAGTTGCCTTTGCTTACAGCCTACGTTTGATATGCTATATATAAACTTCATTGATTGGCTTGGTCCAACCTAACAATTTTTTTCATTTGTGGTGGTCTTCTTCATAATCATAGGACTTATTCAATGACAACTTTGAGTAAGTGTTGACGCAATTTGTTATTGTGCGTAATTCTGATAAATACACGTCACTCAAGGCAGTTGATAAATTATGCATACATATGAATGGTGCTTGATGTGGTTAGCACATCCGAATAGCTGCCCATTTGGGATAAGTGCGTGCCTAAGTACAAATATATTTCATGTTATATTTAGAAGTGGCCATCGAAAAGGTCATGAGAGCTAACAGATGTGCACTTGGTTTGCTTAAAATACATGGCCTTAATGGGGTTTTTGTACCCTGACTTAAGATCGCTTTAAAATGTACAAGAATTTAATTTTGGTTATTTAAATGGCACAGATGGTAATGTTTCACATCACGTATACGCAGCGTTAACCACATCATCCGCGCCTTTTCAGCCACGTGACATGCAATTGAACAAATAAATCAGTGAGCTAATAAATTTTTAGCAGCGTCTCAGCAGCAGACCAAAACGCGAGCAATTCTCGTATAAATATAAGCGCCAGCCAACCATTACGAAAGCGAAAGTTAACAGGCAACCAAAGGAGCTAACGTGAATGTTGGGCTGGGGCAAAGGTAGGCAGGCGTCTGCGTGCACCCCAACACATGGGTATTTGCAGCATTTCCTCTCTCTTTCAATTGAATTCTGGCGTGCCATGCTGCGTATACGTGTTTTTTATTTTACGGGTGTGTGCGTGATTTTTTCCCTGTCTTTTCAGCGGGGACTGTTTGAATTGCGCCCCGCTGCCTGCGTTGGAATATATTAAATTTTGTTATTAAAGGCTATATCCAGCACCTGCTCACACTTGTTCGGCTATTCTTCATTAATTGCAATTTAGACTACCTATGCGGCAGATTGATTTCAAATTTAATTATACATTTACAACACCGTGGACTACAAATTGAGGAAATATTTTGAACAAATCAA